TCACATTCATACTCAAACACCACCGAAATTCGATCAGGCCAACTGGTCTGACTGGTTAAGAACTGTAAACAAGTTTTGTGTCTTTTCGCGGCAGTTAAGTCCTTTGTTTATCGAACGCGACAACGACAATCGACCATATATTTCCATTCATGTCTTCGATGTGCCTCTCGTGGGATTGCTTGATTCTGGAGCTAATAATTCTATCGTTGGAAGAACCGGAATTTCCATCCTAACTAAATTAGGGCTTAGATGGGATAAGTCTGACATAAATTTTGTAACTACGGCTGATAATCGCCGCCAGGAAGTGATAGGCATCGTAGAGCTACCCGTGCGTATTTCTGATTCTTTACGATTGCTTAAAGCTTATGTAGTACCGTCTCTGGATCATTCTTTGATTTTAGGTAGTGATTTCTGTCGTTTATTTTCACTTCAAGTAAATTTTAAGGAGAAATCGTGGCATTTGTCTAGCGACGGTGATGATCTAGTAGAATTTGAATTGAAAAATGAGCCTCATGTCGACGCTATTTCACTCTCCGAATTGACTCTAAGTCCCGCGCAACGTGAAATCGCTCGTTTGATTATTGAGGACTTTCGTGAAATTTCCGGGGACAAAAGTTTAGGTCGAACAAACAAACTGACGATGTCAATTGATACCGGCGACGAAAAACCTTTTAAACTTCGTCAATACCCAATGTCTCCAGCGGTGTTGAAGATCTTACACGATGAAGTCGACGAAATGCTTAAGTTAGATGTTATAGAGGAGTCCCACAGTCCATGGTCTTCTCCGGTGTTGATGGTTCCTAAAAAGAACGGCGAAAAACGTTTTTGTTTCGACGCACGCAGACTTAACAAAATTACGAAACATGATTCATATCCTTTGCCGCGTGTAGACCGAATTTTGAGTATGTTGAAGGACGCTAAGTATATTTCATCGATTGATTTACGAAAAGCTTTTTGGCGAGTGCCACTCGATGAGACTTCTCGCGAAAAAACCGCATTCGCAATACCGGGAAAAGGTCTTTATCATTTCAAAGTTATGCCTTTCGGTCTTTGTAACTCCGCTCAAAACATGCAGCGCGTAATGGACAGTATCTTTGGTCCTAGATATGAGCCAAACATATTCGTATATCTCGACGATATAATTGTGACTTCCGCCACATTTGATAAGCATACCGAATTGCTTAAAGAAATAAAGCAGCGTTTAAAGGAAGCGAATCTTCGAATAAATTTGGAAAAGTGTGATTTTTTTAAGTCTTCACTACGATATCTCGGGTATGTCGTGGATGTTAACGGTTTAAGGACTCACCCGGAAAAAATAACAGCGATGCTCAATTACCCCCGACCAACAAACACAACGGAAGTCAAACGCTTTATGGGAATGTGCGGTTGGTACCGCCGTTTTATTAAGAACTTTTCGACCATATGCGCGCCGATTAACGATCTTTTGAAGGGACACAAACATAAAAAGGCTCCTATCCTTTGGACTCCAGAAGCCGACATTGCGTTCACCAACATAAAGCAGGCTTTGGTTTCCGCACCTATATTATCTAGTCCAGATTTTTCACAGCCGTTTGTTGTACAGTGCGACGCTTCCGACACCGGTATCGGAGGTGTTTTGACGCAGGATCTAGAAAGAGGCGAGCGAGTCATAGCTTTCGCCAGTAGATCGCTTTCGAGAAGCGAACGTAATTACTCCGTGACGGAACGAGAATGTCTGGCTGCCGTGTTCTGTACCGAAGTTTTCCGTCCTTATATCGAAGGAACTCCGTTCACATTGATTACTGATCATTACTCCCTTCTATGGCTTGACAACTTGAAAGAGCCAACGGGTAAATTAGCTCGTTGGGTGCTCAAGCTACGCCAGTATCATTTCACTATGGTACATCGTAAAGGGAAGTGCAATGTAGTACCAGACGCACTCTCGCGAGCACATAACAGACCAAGTCAAATTAGCGCCATAGATTTTCTGCCGGACGATGGAGATCAATCGTATCGTATTTTAGCGGACACGATCTCGCGAAATCCTTTAGAATACCCATTGTGGAAGGTAGAAAATGACTTAGTCTATAAAAAGGTTCGACCCCATTTTCCTACAATTTCCAACGAACTACAATGGAAATATTTAGTACCAGTTTCAAAACGGATGCGTGCTATTGAGGATTGCCATTCTCCTCCTACTTCCGGCCATTTTGGAGTCTTTAAAACTTTAGGAAGAGTGTCAGAATTATACTACTGGCCAAAAATGCGTAAGGACGTGGTAAAGTTCGTCCGGAAGTGTAGAGTATGTGCGGAGCAAAAGATCCCCAATGTAGGTCCATCTGCAGGGCCGGCTCTAAGGGACCAGGCGCCCCGATGCAACTTACTGTTCAACGCCCTCTAAAAAATTATTCATCAACGCAAAACCTAAACTACTGAAGCTACAAATATGAAATTTGGACAGTAGATTCCTTTTGTATCATAAGCACCCATTAAGAAAGGATTTTTGGAAATTCCGTCCTTACGGGGACAAAATAGGGGATGAAAAGTTATGTAGGAATCTCCTGAGCTTTTAAGTTAGACGGGTTCACTGGGGAGGGGGGAGTGAACGCGATGAAAAATTTTTCAATTTTTAATATTGTAAAATTGATACGATTTCAAAGTTAAATAAATTATTTAATTTATTAGACTTACTTGAATATTAATCGAAATTTAAATTAAAAAATAATGATGACAAAGAGCCAAAGAATGATACAGAGAACCAAATTCGGCTACAAACAGGAACAGTAAAAAATATAACAAAACTGTTGAACAACCACCACAACTAACCCGCTAGACTTGTAAAATAATTTTTTTAAGTATGTGCCAACATGGAGTTTTATGGTAAAAACAAACGTGACAATGTTAGGAAAAACACCTGGTTTTGGTCATACCGCTGTCTCGTCAAATTGTTACCCAGATAATGCAATAATAAATCTGGTTATTTTTGTCGGTATTGATCTAAAGGTCCAATTACCCAATCTTAAGGCACACTCTTTTTCAATTAGTATAGTCAGAAAGTGCCAGGAATTGACTTCTTAGGACCTGTTTTGGTGAACCACTCCTCATAGTGGAATGTTAAAATGTAGGTTTTTCTGAAAAGTTTTCGATGGGCGCCTTGATCTGTTCCTGCTATAATATTTTGTACGTCCTGATTCAATGCAAATCTAATATTAATTTATTTCTGTAAAGTTGATATAAAAGCAAAGGCGGCTCTTACCGCTCGGCGCCCCTTGTCACGGGCGCCCCGATGCGGTGCATCTTTCGCTTACCGTGTTGAGCCGGCCCTGTCCATCTGGATTGATGGGTAGAGAGAAACGCGTCAGTTTCCCGTGGCAAGTCATTGCGGTTGATTTCATGGGACCGTTCCCACCTTCACCTAATCGAAATCAGTATCTGTTGGTTATTTCGGATTGGTTTACCAAGTATACACTCTTATTTCCACTCAGAAAGGCCAACGCGCCTGCAGTGATAAAAATCTTAGAGGACCAAGTATTTTTGACTTTTGGTACACCACAGTTTATAGTCTGTGACAATGGCACTTTGTTTGCGGGAAGGGAATTCAAACGTTTCGCCGATAAATACGAAGTACAAAAAATCTGGTTCAATGCCCGTTACCATCCCCAAGCAAATTTTGTTGAAAGAACGAATAAAACTGTTGGTACTGCTATCCGCTCATATTTAGAAGAACGTCACGAGTTATGGGATAAAAATTTATCGGAAATACGATTCGCGATTAACAGCGCGCGACACGAAGTCACTGGGTATCCCCCGTCTTATTTAAATTTTGGTAGATACGTGCCTCTTAGTGGTAAATATTATGGGTCTCTGCACGACCAACCTAGCGCTGATTTATATCCTGGTGATCGAGATCAGTACTCTTTGGAACTCGAACAGCTTTCCACCAGTGTTTACGATGAGATACGCCAAAAACTTAACGCGGCTTATCGACGATACGCCAATCGATATAATACAAAACGTAGAAACGTTGAATATAATGTTGGTGATAAGGTATGGAGGCGGAATCATGTGATGTCCGACTTACGACGCAAGGTGTCCGCCAAACTCGCGAAAAAATACGTAATAGCTAGAATTGTCGAAAAAATTTCGCCCTTAGTATACCGATTGACGAATGACGACAATACTAATGCCGGTCGTTACCACGTGAAGGACTTGAAGCCTTATTTCGGGTCAAATTCGGACGTTTCGTTCGGGTAAGCTTGTTCTTTGCTGTACCCAGGCCTCTTTCGTCTTGTTTTCTATGAAGTATTTTCTCTCCTCAGTATTCCTACAGATTCTTTCCTTTTTTAGAGTTTTACCGCCAATCATCGTTATGATTTTATTGTTGCGCCCCACCCCTATGCTTAACCCGATTGTGACAGCCTGCCCAAAGTTTCTTTGACGAGGTTTTACGTAGACTTTCCTTCTTAGGACGTGTGATACGCGTAGTTATCAGCCTTGTGATGATTTATTTCACCAGGGAGGACACAGGAATGCGGCTGCTTGATGTACGGCTCCATTTCTCTTGGATAAGACTTCTTAAAAAGGTTTCCTTTCCGTCAACCTTTTTTTTTCGTAGGGGAGGTGCAGTGTAACATGCGTTACGTCTTCCTGTGTTGGGCCGGGAAAAGAATAGTCCATCAGCCTAGTCCTGCTTGAGGTAAAAGTCCTCTAATGGACCTGTTTCTTCTGTCCTTTCCCCTTTCTTCATATCTTAGTTTTTCTTTTACCGATGGTAAAATTTCAGCGTTGTTGATGCTATAATCAACCACTTGTAGTTCAACCCTTCAGGTTGTTTTAGCGTAGTTGATGCTATAATCAACCAGGTAGTGCTGGCTTCCTCAGGCTTCACCGGAAAATTTTGCATTTTTTTTTGTCGTTTCAACCCTTTCCAGCATTTATCTTTTTGCCGTAGTGCGTTTAGTTTTAATAAACAAAAATATTATTTTCATCATCGTAGCTCCCTCTTTTGAGTGAGTACGTTTCTATCAAGTATCGTTATCGGTTCTTTATCAATTTCGTTTTTAATTATCGACGACACCTTCGCTACGTCAGAGTGACGAGGTACCCCACTTTTAAGGCGACTTCCGGTCAGCGTCGTCTCCCGTCACTCCTGGAATAATCAGTAAGTCCCGGTTCACCACTCTGAAAATTTTCTTGCCGTCTCTTGGTCATTTTTCCACCAGGTGCTATGCTTTGTCTTGGCGAATTCTAATTGCTAATAACGAATCCATGTCTCAGTCCCTTCCGGTTTACGTGTACGCCGCTGGGCAGTGGTCACCTCCGACAGCGCATTGGTCACCTTAATATCTACCCCTACCTTTGAGACGATTCTTGGTTTTTAAGATTTTTCCGGCGACATTTTTCCGAGAGTGTTCACGGTGGTGAAGACTTGTGTCATTTTTGCGCACCAAATTTTTCGTTGCTTGAAAACCCTCAGCAGCCACTTGAGGTAATTATTAAAACTGTCTTTTCCGTCTAAGTGAACCGCTTGGAAATTTCAGGGTTTTTCCTTTTCTTGTCTGGTACCGTGTGCGACGTCGAACCAAGCCAAGATTTTTTGACGACGCCATCTTGAAGGCGGCACGGCTTCTCGTTTGACTTTTTTGAAGCTCTCGAATTTGAGGACGGCCTGGAACATTTTCGCCGGTACGCCAGAAATAATTTACCGCTAATCGGAACATCACTATCTCTGGAAACGCCCAAGGTCAGATTTTTCCAATCTATGAATTTGCGCCCTACACGTCAAATATAGTTCCATCGCCCTTCAGACACTATTCTAAAGAAGTATTCTTAGTTATAATTAATTCGTTGTAAACCAAGCTTACGTAAGCGCGGCCTTTAATTGTGTCGAAATAAGTAGTGTGAATATTTTAATCTATATTTTTTTTCTTTCTAATTTGATAAATCGGTTGTCCCTTTCTTATGTATTTTTTTTTTTCAATAGTTTGAAACTAAATTGGTAGTTGCTAGTTTCATAAAACATTTTATTTACTAACTACCTGGCGCCCACTAATCAGTCTCCCCCTTACATCCTTTCAATAAAATCGACTGCAAAGAGGTTAAATTTCGAGAGAACCTGCGACCCGCCGCCGAAACAACTGAGTGCCGTACGCAGTGGCCGATTTTCAAAATTGGAAACGGTGCAGTATATAGAGAAGGAGGTAATTAGAAATCACAATGAAATTGATCAAGTTAGATTTATTTATACGCATAAATACAATTATGTCAATTTTTTTTTATAATTTAATAGTTTTTACAAGTATAAATGTGCGTTGAGCAATTGTTTTACAACTGTTAAACATGTGTAATATTTAATTTCTTACAATCTGTGTTATTCTGTTGAGAATAGGACGATGATAGGAAAAGTAGGAAATGAAAGGGAGTATTTCGAGTTTAATGTGTCTTGAAAAAATTGACACTACATTCACTTTTCACTGCACTTGATACTCGACCAAAACATGTAAATGTACTATAATATAGCAGCTGTCCACGCAGACGCATCGCTCACTCAAGTAGGAGTGAGGCGGATGGGGAACGCTGCCGAACGCGAAGGCCGATTGTGCCTCTTTGTCGCTCGTTCCGCGTTCTCGCTTGCACTTCAAGCCTTACATGGAACGCCTCAGAGCGAGGTAACGCCGCATGAGTCATGTCGAGGTAACGCCGCATGAGTCATGTTTTTTCGTGCGTGCAACCGGCTCAATCGAATTATAAGACGTTGTACGTCAAAAACCTACCATGTCAAACAGTAACTTCAAAACGTCTGCAATATTTCAAAATTCAGTTTTGCAATTGTTGATTCAATCAATAAAATAAATTGACTCAGTGATTAATTTGTTTGAGACATCCCCTATAAGCAAAACTAAAAAATATGAATGGAATGATAAATCACAAGTATAGTCTCATCCTATTTTGGACATTTTAGATAGGATTCATTTGGCAACATTTTGGGCTGACGTCAATTTTTTGGAGGGAATCAGTAAAGATATTTTGAATAAAAATTTATTATGCTTATCATATGTTTAAAACATCTGCAAGATTTCAAAGCATTCAGTTTTGCAGATTCAAAATTAAATTGTAGGTGAAACGAAGTTCACGGAGTCGGCTAGTGTATGTATAACGTTCACTCTACGAGGACATAGAGTACGGTAGCGTGGAGGAGCAGTAAGGAATTTCTCTCGTAAAGGGACCATGAGTCATATATGGAAGGAATTCGATCAGCACTGGACGCAGTTCTAAATAAACAATGATGTCATGGTACTTCACTGTCCATGAGGGGAGCATTCGAGTCTCAACTATCGTCAAGTATAGTGCTGTCCGACTTAATTTGAATAAAGTTTTTGTTTTTGAAAGTGTCGAGCCTTATACTAGAGTTTTTAATAGTTTATAATAGTTATTTACAAGTGAGAAACAAATAAAATATTGAACAATACACGCAAGGTAAGGAGTTTTTACTGGCTACAGAAGGTGAGTGTCTCGCCTGCGGCTCTCCAGTCATATCCTTCTGTTCGCCAGTAATAACTTTTTTACCATGCTAGTAATGTTAAATACTGTTTTTATATCACCCCAGAACTTCTTTTGTCGTAAGAAATGTATTTTTTTTTATTATTTTATTTCATTACGTTCCCCTACAGGCCGGCGGCTCAATTGCAGGGGAACGGGGGACATACACAACACCCAGACCCGGGCAGGAATCGATCCCACGACCCAAGGTGTAGCGGGTAAGCACGAAGCTACCTAACCCTAACCAGTGACTATATATAGTCACTGCCCTAACCCACCCGGCTCACTACAGGGAACCGTAATCTGTTTAATAATTAATTCTGCGCCATCTGTTGACTACGTTTTGAACGGAAAATTAAATTATAGTTTTCTGCAATTCGATCTGTGGTCATCACAGCCGGCAGTTGTGGTCATTCTTTCGAATATCGATAATGTCGACTCTGTTTATTTTGTTGATTAGCGTCATACAGTGCCCCAATATTTTTTTGTGGCAATAAAAGTGTATAATTCAGAGTGTTAGTTTTGTGTATGTACATATGTACATGTACCCATGAAATAAATCATTGCGGTTTGCACCTGAGGTAGTTCGTCGCACATTTGATTGACTTCGTAGACCTATGTCAGCTTGTCGTCTTCTCGGCATTGTAATGAACTTCATAAAACGACACAGAATTATTTTCACGGTCAATCAAATCTGTAAATTTTGTCTTGAGAATTTTAAAATATTGAAAACTTCAAATTAAATCCTCGAATAACGGTAAAGTTTGAGGTTTTGTCGAAACCAACAAAGTGAATATAGGTAAATAGCTTTAATAATAATGAAAAAACGTTCAGAGTTTAAATAATATATTCGTAGTCACTGCTATACACGTGTTTCGGTACACAGTACCGTCTTCAGGCAGAAGATAAACTAACTAATATATTATTTAAACTCTGAAAATTTTTTCATTATTATTAAAATTAATATGGAGTTTAAACACGCATCAGCCTCATCAATACAAACATAGGTAAATAGAATGGCAGATCAAAATTAATAAGAAACTTTCGCAATGCGTAACTGAATTCACTTTAACGAACACTTTTCTTGAAATCAACGACGTTTTTTGTTACGAAAAAACAAACAACGACTTGAAATGCAATAATACTTTTCACAATCGCACGGAAGAAATAGTTTTGTGTGACACGTCAGTCAGGCGACAGGTCCGCCAGGAATGGCCAACTATTCAAATTCATTCCAAGTGGCGATTCCCGTGCAAAATTTTTAAAAATTTTTTTATCTTTTAGCCGTCTCATTTTTTATAAATATTCTTACATATAAACCTGACGGTAAGGAACACGTAAAAAAAAGAATCGTCCAATTCGGTGCGGTCGTTCTGAAGTTATGGGCGTACATACATTTCGGCGATTCATTTTTATTAATATAGACTAGCTGACCCTGTGAACTTCGTTTCACCTACAATTTAATTTTGAATCTGCAAAACCGAATGCGTTGAAATCTTGCAGATGTTTTAAACATATGATAAGCATAATAAATTTTTATTCAAAATATATTTACTGATTCCCTCCAAAAAATTGACGTCAGCCCAAAATTTTGCCAAATGAATCCTATCTAAAATGTCCAAAATAGGATGAGACTATACTTGGGATTTATCATTCCATTCATATTTTTTAGTTTTGCTTATAGGGGGTGTCTCAAAAAAATTAATCACTGAGTCAATTTATTTTATTGATTGAATCAAGAATTGCAAAACTGAATTTTGAAATATTGCAGATATGGTGGTTGGCTTTGCAGGGGACCAGGTATTAATTAATATCTGTTACGGCGTCTTTCGCCATGCTTGACTCTTTATTAATCTCCCAATCAACTGTCAACAGTACCAACGTACAATACCAACCTAACTAAGATCTACCCTACATCTCCCTTTCTTAAGAAATACAAATAAAATAAACTTATTAACGCACTTATATACTCTTGTGCAGTTTCGCCCTCCTTTTGTTTACGCATTTTGAATTTTGCACGTGCATATATTACATTGGTTGTTCCTGTAAACTTTTTGTCGAAGAACTCTTTTAGTTCTTTGTATGTCGAGAAATCTGTTTCGGTGCACTGATGGCTTTCTAATAATTTAGTTACTTTCGCGCCCATATGTAACAAAAGTGAATTTATTTGTGAGCTTTCACTTGCCGTATTTATCTTTGTGGCTTGTCTGTACCGTTCGAAATGCGTAATCCAAGTTTTCCAATCATCTTTGCTGAACGAAAATCTATCTGGTGTAGGCACTGTGTTAATGATGGTGCTATTATTAGTTGCATTTTCGGCGTTACTGTGTTGAAGCCTACTCTCTAATCTTTGTAGAGCTTGCTGTAACTGAGCCACTTGTTGTTGTAGTTCTTCAACGGTCGCCATTGTGTTTACCTCGTTATTTAACGATGTCTCAGCGATGTTTTACTGAAAAACCCGTCGGTACAAGTTTACTGTGTATCTTTAACACTTTTTACTGTATCTTTCGACACCTGGGGTGCGATTTTGTTTCTCGATCGAAGCGATAAAATAAATGTCATTACGTAGGTTTTAAATGCAAAAGTTTGCATTTATTCTTTGCATATAAGCTTATTAAATGCTCAAAAGTTTACAATTACCTTAATTTTAAGAACTTATAACTCAGAATTACGATTTTGAACTTCTATTTTGACATAAATTTCGAGGTTATGTCTCCAAAATTTATCACTTTACTCAGAGCTATCGATAAAAGATCGCTGCACGAAGACTTGATTTCGTGACAGAATCGAGAAATGTGACAGAAATGTAGCATCTCAACCAATCAGCAAACGAGATTTTATCGCTAACGGGTTTTTTTCGGTCGAAAAACAAAATCGCACCCCTGACACCATGTGGTGGTTGGCTTTGCTGGGGGCCAGGGGTGCGATTTTGTTTCTCGATCGAAAAAAACTCGACAGCGATAAAATCTCGTTTGCTGATTGGTTGAGAGGCTGAGTTGGTGAGACATTTCTGTCACATTTCTCGATTCTGTCACGAAATCAAGTCTTCATGGAGTGATATTTTCTCGATAGCTCTGAGTGAAGTGATAAATTTTGGAAACATAACCTCGAAATTTATGTCAAAATAGAAGTTCAAAATCGTAATTCTGAGTTATAAGTCCTTAAAATTAAGGTAATTGTAAACTTTTGAGCATTTAATAAGCTTATATGCAAAGAATAAATGCAAACTTTTGCATTTAAAAGCTACGCAATGACATTTATCGCAAGCGATAATTTATCACTTCAATCGAGAAACAAAATCGCACCCCTGGTATTAATTAATATCTGTTACGGCGTCTTTCGCCATGCTTGACTCTTTATTAATCTCCCAACCAACTGTCAACAGTACCAACGTACAATACCAACCTAACTAAGATCTACCCTACAGCAGACGTTTTGAAGTTACTGTTTGACATGGTATAAAGTCGCGATCTTTTCTATAGAACCACTCCCTAGTGTAAATTTTCAAAATTTGTTTGGTGTAAGTGACCTTGACAGGTTTCTGGGGGACAACATATGTGTCAAAAATTTGACAGGTTGGATGGCCCCATTGTCAATGTAGATATTTTATTT